GCAGGAAAGCCCTGGCAGCATCCTGCAGCTGCATGTTGTGCACTGGCTGGCGTGCTGCTCTGGAGCTGACAGCTTGTAACTGCCAAATAAAGCTCATCCTGTGAAGTCTCCACTGAGTCCGTGTGTCCCTGAGAGGCTGGAGGGGTTGGGGGGTTGGGGACCTGGGGCACCTGCAGGTGGACTGGGGTGTAAGCTTGAGCAGGGCAGGCATTTTGCTCCCAGAAAATGCCACCTCCCTTTGTTCTGTATGTTTTTGGGGGGGTTGTGTGGGATTTGCCTCTGGAAATCGTATTTACAGAGTATTGGGTAGATACAGCCCTGCTACCTCTGTGTCCCGCACTGGGAAGTTTGCATTGAGGAACTAGTCGGTATTTTACTGCGAAACCTGCATGTTTTCTTGCAGGCAAGGGGAACTTGGAGGATTCATATTTTTTAGGGAGGATAAACAAAGTGAAGACTTTCATCTACCCTGGCTCATTCCTGGCATAAAGCCTACAAGAAATTAGCTGACTCATACTGGCCGAGCAGCCAGCTGGGTGGGGGTAGGTTTTAGATAAACATTTTGCTATCACGACCTGTCCAGACTTTGTTTATGCACTTCTTTTTCACCCTGTGCTGCCCATTCTGCAATTATGGGGGGCCCAATCCTGCTAATAGTGGTGACCATTAATAATTTTCTGGATGTGAGTATCAGTCCATGCTCTGTGCATGCAGTGTGTTTTGGGTGTTAAGTGTCTGCAGAGCAGGACTCTAGGGTAGAGTTTTGTTCTTGGCATGGGAAGCACCGTCTGCCCCGTCTCAACTGAGCATGACGCAGCAAAAGCAATGGTTAGCTGAAAGGACAGGCTTACTTTTTAAAGGGAGAAAAGAGGGCATAGCTATATATCCCAGTATCTCTGACACCCTGTTTGCATTGTGTCCTATCCCTGCTTCATCCACATTTGTGGGCATCCCACTCTCTGCCCCTGACCCACTGGAGGATATTAAAAGCCCTCTGTGACCCATAAATGCCCCTTCTCACACAGATTATTCGAAGGAAGAGGCATTTTGTTTCTGGTGTCAAGGCAGACACTGAGATGGTGAGAAGATGACTCGCAGTAAGTCCCAAAGTGCTTTCCTCCCTGCAGGGAGTCTGGGCAGGCACAGAGTACAGTGTCTTGGTCAGGTGTCCAGGGTCACAAAAAACCAAATTCTTACATGAACTTTCATAGGTTTCATGACAGATATTCGTACACTTTTGTATGAACATGATTGTTCATAGACTTCAGGCAGAAATGACTGAATTATTTGAACAAGTAGGTCTCCTCCTGCAAGCAAGGTGTCTGGGCGTAGAAATGAGCCAAGCAGACCTCTCAGGTTGGACCCTACAAGTCAGTACAGCAGGGGAGGGCTGGGCCTTTCCCACTGTTGAGGTTCCTGCTGGGGTACCCCTTCCCGGGAGCAGGGATGAGGATTTCCACCCCCTGCACCCGGCAGCATGGCAGGGTGGGTATGGTGCCTGCTGGCACTGCCCGTGGCTTCACGCCCCATCCCCAGCACCAGCTGGGGGATGACATTCCAGTCCCTGTCCCCCCAGCAAACAGACCCTGCGGGAGCCGACCACCTCCTGGGCGACGCCTGGTGCAGCGCAGCGCTGGCAGCACTGCAGGTCCTGGAGCGGCCGATAAGGTGGTGCGGGAGGGTGGGCACCGGCGGCAGCCCAGTGGCATTTTGCCTGCATGTTCTTTCCCCCATGCATGCACCCAGGCAGTGCTCAACTTGATTTATCATCATGTTCCAGCACACCAGCCTGCGTGCACTAGATTTTCTTGAGAAAATGCATATGTAGGCAACTCTAATGAAGCTTATTGATCCCTATTCCATCGAAAAAAAATCTACAACTAAAGGGGGAAAGAGGTATTATCTGGCTGAAAATCTCCCTCAGTATTCTCTTTCTTTTAATTGATTTTCCTCCCATTCCTGTATTTTCAGTAAAAGGCCAAGAAGACACTCAGCAGGAGGTGGTCCATGGAGGAAAGCAAGCCCCGCTGTCTGGAGAGGAGCTTGGTCAGCTCTTTAGCTCTGCTGCAGCCTGGCTGCCCAAACACCCCACCTCAACCTGGTCACTAGTCCGACAAGACCCAGCGCCTCTTACTTAGCCCAATCCAAATCCTGTGGAAAACAACAGGAAGACAGCGGATTGCCCCAGGTGCCTTGGGATCAGGATCAAAGCCCCTGCACTTTCAGCAAGGACAGTGTTTCTTGGGAGTTTATGCAGAAAATAAAACAGGAGAGCCCCTCCATGCAAGGGCATTGTTCCTGGCAAGGGTGCATCACCCCCAGTGTGCTTGGGGGTGTCTCAGGGGAGCAATTCACACGAAGCCCAAAAATCTTCTCCTGGCAAAGGAGACTGGGCACAGCCTAGCTGAACGTGGGGGAAAATGTGAAATATGGCAGCCTTGTCAGGGCAGGTTCAGAAGGAAAAGGCCCTGGGCTCCTCCTGGGCTGGACATCCCTGAGCTGAGCTTTTGCTGCTTTTTGAGCCAACAGCACATCCTGCAGTGGCAAACCTTGTGTTCAAAGCCCATTTCACCTGCCCTTTATGGATGTGAATGAAAGCAGAAATTGGATTAAAAGAGCCATCCTGTTTAATGCTTGCTCCCTGTCCAGCATCACTGCATCTGACCTGTCCTTTTACATCTGAGGGGAGAACATTTGGGTGAGCTTCTTCCTGCTCCAAAAGGGACAAGTAAACCAAGCAGGTCAAGTTCTGTTACAGGAGGAGGACAGGAGGGTTAATGCAGATTTCAGCTGCAAAGCCTGAGCATCCTCTGAACAACTCCAGCATTGCCCACAGCTCCTGGTGGTGCAAGGAGACTGGAGTCCTCCTGCAGTGCAGGTATCTGCACAGTTTGCTGGTAGCAAACCCCTCTGGGTTGCTCTGCCACGGGCTGCGTTTTGGCAGGTGCATTCACCATTTCTCTGATAGAGGCTAAGGCAAGGCAGAGTCCAGCATTTGGGAGAGCCCAGGCACAAGGCGCAGGCCCCATTGAGTCCCATGCGCACATGTTAAATCGTCATGGACTATCGCACAGTTGGGTTGTGCAGCCCTTTCTCTGCAAAGGGGCCCACATCTGGTAGGTGAAATGGAGAGCTGCCTGCACAGAGGGGAAGGGATAAAGCTCTTGAGCTCAGGATAACCAGAGGCCCCTTCTCAGCGTGCCACACCCTGGCCATCCCCTTCTGCTCCCCCGCTGGTGGGGACCCCCCACCCCAGCCCCAGCCAATGACCCCTCAGTGCAGGATGGGGAGGAGCTGCCGGCAGGGGATAAAAGCCTCTATGGGGTCGGCAGCTCAGCTACAGGGTCTGTGTCCTCCTGCAGCTCTGAGCAAAGCCGCCTGCCACCATGGTGCACTGGTCAGCCGAAGAGAAGCAGCTCATCGCCAGCGTCTGGAGCAAAGTCAATGTGGAGGAATGCGGTGCTGAGGCCCTGGCCAGGTAGGTCCAGCTCCTGGGCATCTGCTCAGCTGCACCCTGGATAGAGAAACCATGGCAATTGCATTTGGGAGCATTAACATGTCTGTGTCTCTGCTTGTGTCCCCCCATCTCTCCCCAGGCTGCTGATCGTCTACCCCTGGACCCAGAGGTTCTTCGCTTCCTTCGGGAACCTCTCCAGCCCCACTGCGATCATTGGCAACCCCAAGGTCCGCGCCCACGGCAAGAAAGTGCTCACCTCCTTCGGGGAAGCCGTGAAGAACCTGGACAACATTAAGGTGACCTACGCCAAGCTGTCTGAGCTGCACTGCGAGAAGCTGCATGTGGACCCCGAGAACTTCAGGGTGAGCCGTGTTTGCAGTTCCAGCCCCTACCCTATGTCGTGTGGGGAAAGTCAGATTTTGCTTTGAAACTGTGGGTATTGCCTCCAACAACGCTGTCTAGGGGTACTTTCTTTGGCTGGTGGAGGCAGTCCCTGTGTAGCACCCAAGCGAGATGATAGCTTGTGCAGGACTCTTTGCAAGAGTGTGGGTGACTACCACACTAAAAAGTCCCATTTTTAGTACCAGCAGAGCAATGGGGAGGAGAAGGTACTGGGAGATTGTTACCTGAAGGAGATCTGGTAGGGGACAAAGGAGGCAAACCCAGAGGAAGGTGCAGCACGGGCTGGAGGAGTCAGAGACAGAGGGAAGCTAAGCAGAGCATTTAAGGAAATCATAGGTCCTATAGCAAGATAAGCAGCTAGTGTGCTCCAAAACCACAGAGCAGGTTTCTGCCTTGTCCAGCATGGGCTGCCTGTCTGGATGGGACACTCCCTCCTCCTCCAACACTTTTAAATAAAAATGGATCATTTTCTTCATTTACATCTAAAGAGAAAAAGAAAAAAAACCCAGCATTTTGCAAGGTGGGTCTCAGGCCAAATTGCTTTAGCATCCCAAAAATGGGCGGGAAATAGTTTCAAGGTTCTTTCTTTCATTCTTTTTTTTTTTTTTAAAGAATGAAGCAAATATTGTTTTCCCAAAACCCAGAGCTTTCTATGCGAAGACTGAGGATTTTGTTGTAGCAGTCCCAGAGAATGGGGAGTGAGCCAGTCACTGTAACCAGCCCTGCAGCCCGAGGGCCACTCCGATGAGGCAGGGGGGCTGAGGAGGAGGAGGAAGAGTGCGCAGCATGCAAGAGTCCTTTCAGGAGGGGAATTCAGCCTCAGGGAGAAGTCAGGAGAAAGGAACCACAGTCAGTGCATTGCAGGGTGGTGTTTGGGGGGACGGGAAGGAGAGGGACTGAAGGGAAGTCTGCAGCAGGAAAACCAGGGAGATGGAGAGCTTGCATAACGGAAGAAGCTATTTAGAGCTAAAGACATGGCAGGACAGGGTGGGGTTGGTGGAGTTGTGTGCAGTAAGAGTGGAGAGCCCTCATCAAGAGGTTGTGGGTCCAAAAGCTCAGCCCCAGCCCGGGGGTGTCTGGTCCCTGCTCCATGGTCTGCTGCAGCACAACGGTTTGAGCAGCACTAACCCTGTCTGTGTTCCTCTTTCTCCTCCAGCTCCTTGGAGACATCCTAATCATTGTCCTGGCTTCCCACTTTGCCAGGGATTTTACCCCTGCTTGCCAGTTTGCCTGGCAAAAGCTGGTCGGTGT